CTTATCGCACACATTCCCTGTTGTATAACAAACTCCTCCTGATAATCCGACGAATTAATTTCCACACTATCTTGTATCTTTATGCCGTTATCTTCTTCATTTCTTGTATCGAGCGCACGACTTCAAAATGGCGTCGGCAAACTGGTTTCTCCCGCGCGCTGGTGTTGCCGTGTTGCTTCATGTTAAAAACCTTTCTTCAAGTATAATCATTAAATCTCGCCTTCTTGGAGGACCAAAATCTTCTTAACAGATGTAACTTCGCTCGGCCATTATCTCCGCGTATTATCAAGAATAATTAAGGGTAGAATATGCTTAATATGAGAGTTAAAAGAGTCCGGTGATGCCATTGTGCGTTCCCGGAGATGGCGGCAGGCGCGGCCGCTAGCCAGCTGCCATCACGGCGTCCAGCCTGCAGAGGAAGTCACTGTCTTAGACATAGACGCTAATACAAGGTATGTTCAATCTTATTTATTGGGCAGTTATATAATAGGAAAATAATTAAAGCAGTTGTGCATTGTATTATGTGTTTGGAATATTGATAAAGAGCTGAAATCGCTTTAAAACGCTTATTTGCTGTGGTTGCTGTTTACTTCTCGCCGCAAAATTGTTACCGCTCACATGTTTTTCCACCGTACATCCTCCAGTTTGAGACGATCTAATTCAAAGAGAAGACAGTCTGTGCCTCAACGATCATGTGTGATGGTTTAATATAACCACAAGGGCAGGGAAAAGCAAAAGTGTAAAGAGAGGAAAAACATTTTGACTGTCGCCGCTACATTAACGAAATGGCGTCGGCTCTCCCCGCTGCCATATTGGATACCGCGGGAGGGAGGCGAGCGGTGGGAAGCAGTCTAGCTGCCCTCCACTGCTAAACTTAATGGCGATCATTGTAATGTTACCTTGCTGGTTTTGAATAATTTATTGGGCTTCAGCAATCCTGTGTCGAGCGTTTGCTCGTTCAGGCTTCTCTACGGCTGAAGTCAACCACGCACCCTTCAACCAGCCATACTTCTCAAGCCGGACGGCTGTCTCCATGAATCAGCTGTTTGAGTCTTAGAATATGGGAGGCCATGACAGTGAATACCTGCCGGTGGTGGGTATTTCCGTCTGTTTATAACAAATGATATGCACGAAGGGTCATTACGAATGTGTACGGAATACGGCGTGAACTGTACTCGACTTTCTCTCATCCAATTTAGTATAGATAAGTTTTCTAAATCCAAGTAAAGTGATTATTGCAATATATAAATGTAACGACCAACTATCACCAGTCGGTATCGGCTCTGCACACTGGTGAACACCATTTATCGTTAAAGTGTCACTTAAATCTGTTGTTAACATCACCAGCATCCTAACATACAGCGCGAGTGGATAAATAATTTCACTAACATTCCCAGGGTTAGATTTAGTTAGAGCAACCCATCACTAGCGGCGACTCTCCATCACACAATGCACTTGATGTGAGCACCAACATTGTTACAAATATTCGTGGGCGGCGTCTTGGGAGACGTGGACCAGGAAGAAGGTGGGTGGCGCAAGCTGCTGCTATGACATACAAGAGTTTTTGGACAGAGATAACCCAACAGTCCGCACCGCGCGACGTAGAGGCCCCACAACGCGTCGTAAACATCGCAAGACAATACCTGCACTCTTTACACCCGGGTGGGAGCAAAGAGCAACGTTGCAAGTTCAACATCTCCGGCTGCTCTTCCACACAGATCTGAAGCACCAGCAAAACAGTTCTCATCCTCCTCCCCCTCCTTTTCCTCCTCCTCCTCCTCCTCCTCTTCCTCCTCCTCCTCATCCTCCGCCTCTTCTTCTATTTCCTCCCCATCCTCTTCCTGCTCTTCCTCATAGGCCTGAAGCAATGAAGAAAAAAATCTTCTTTTTCCTGTTCTTGCTATGAAGCATCAGAGCAGTAAGCTCCTTCCTCCGCTGGTGCTTTTTCACATGCCTGAAGCACAATAGCAGCAATCTTCCTCTTCCTCCTATGGGCTTCAAAAAATATGAAGCCCTGAAATTTTCTAGCTACTTGCAGCTCATTCCGTCTCCCTTTCTTCCTCTGTTCTTCGCTCCCCACCGCCCTTTTTTCTAGCGGCCTGATTCCGATTTACGACACGAGATACTTGGAAATATTCCGTGTGTTTTCCTGAGAGGCCCGCGTGAGGAGAGACGCACACAGGCAGACACTCACCCTCCGACGAGTGACAAGCGAATGAAAACCTGGAGGTTGTAAAACTGAGTGATAAAATTGTGTCCCAAGACAGGATGTGTATGTGTCTGTGTGTACGTAGGTTTGTGTAAGTGTGTGTACGCGAGAGGTAGGCGGAGTAGCTTTTACGGGCAGTGCATTTGTCTTTTATTGGTCATAAAATTAAAAGTTAGCGGTAATACAAGCTCTAAACGTGGCAGGATCGCCATAAAGTTGGGTTTGGACACTTCGCACGCGCTGCGCCAGACGATGTGTTGAAATACCGAGTTACGAAGTACCGTCATTATTGTCCCATAATTATTTTGACTTTTATGCATCGTTTGGCCGTCTCTATCATTACGTTCATCTTCCCCCCACGGGCCTTAAAGCGCTTCACAGTCTAAGAGCTACGATAGGAATTGGGCTCTTAAGCCAATAGGCGATAAGGCTGACATTGATAATTTTATGATGCTGTAAAATTATCCGCGATGACCGAGGTTAGGAAAAAGCTTATGAAAATTTAATTGTTGGCTAATTAAGACGTAAAAGAAGAGCTTTTTTGCGAGGATTACAAGGCTTGCTTGATAAATGTAATGGTTATGGGTGCAGTAATGACCCGGAATGTCATATATCGGATGGATGGACCAGCGCATTCTAATTAGGAGGATGTAATAAGCGAAGTTGCTTTATGCAAATTAAAACTTAACCTTATCTTCCAACATGGGGGATTATTACGAGTAATCGGGAGTACTGGGAATGACATTTTGATTCGAGAAAGGCAGTGAGTGAATCTACCGCCAGCCGCTGTGGTTCAGAGGCGATTGGCGACATATTTATGACCAATCGAGAGTCAGCGATAGTGTGTCGTGAAGGACACGCCTCGCATGCGATTTACTGCTACCCACCAATCAGTGAATGTCAAGTGATTAATTAGGGATCTCATTATAAGATAAGAAGATGGGACGTTAAAAAAAAAAGACAGTCCGAAACTTTAAGAAACGGCGCAAATATAAGCAAGGTCACACCATGCATCTCCGAGAAAACACCGGCACCAGAAGCAAGCAACAGCAGCAATAGTAACAACACAAGGGCAGATAGTATCAGAAGCAGGAACAGTATCGTCAACATCAGCAGCAGCAGCAGCATCAGTAGCAGAAGCAGCAGCAGCAACAACATCAGTAGCAGCAGCAGCAGCAGCAGCAGCAGCAGCAGCAGCAGCAGCCCAATAAAAACAAAACTTCTCTCTTCACCCACACAGAAAAAAAAGAGCAAAAACAGAAAAAATGCGGGGAAAAAACACCCAAAACATAATGCTACTTACGCCAAATCGAATCGAGTGAAGGTGACGACTTTACAATAGTGAGAACCGGTATCAGCTGACACTGAACGGCTCGGCTACGACCTCGCCGTCGGATAGACTCTCTGCGAACTCATGACCGTGGCGTTTATGGGGCTTGGGGCCACCTTATGAGCCTCACCATAGGTCTCAGGACATACAAGAGACTAGCTGGGGATATCGCAGGAGACGACCACCAGCCGGAAGAGTGGAGGAGGGGAAGAGGAACAAGAACAAGAGGAAGGTGTGTGTATGTGTGTGTGTGTGTGTGTGTGTATGTGTGTGTGTGTGTGTGTGTGTGTGTGTGTGTGTGTGTGTGTGTGTGTGTGTGTTTGTACTCACCTATTAGTGGATGCAGGGGTCGCGTCACGGCTCCTGGCCCTGCTTCTTCGCTGATCGCTATTAGGTCCACTCTGCCCCTGCTCCAAGAGCTTTATCGTACCTCTTCTTAAAGCTATGTATGGATCTTGCCTCCACTGTATTACTCTGTGTGCGCATGTGTGCGTACTACCTCACACCCGATTGGTTGGAACTTAGCTCCAGGCCCCTGACTCCTGTGCAGAGCTGACATAGTCCTACCTATTAACTTCCTCATGATAGCCTACTCTCTCCGCCCCCCCATTTTCCCAAGCTGCCCGGTCTCAGAAGTGAATTTATGGCTTACGACAAGGTCAGCCAGACTGTTGGTGCTGGCGGCACGGAATCTGATATGGGTACTTCAGGCCGGCAGATCAGGAATAGCTCTGAGTCTGTGAGAATATTGGTAACTTCTATGACCCCCTCAACGTGGTGGGTTAAATTTTAAGTGTGAGAATTACATCCCTATCACCCTCATAAGCATAGATTTCAGTGTGCAGATTTGAAGTTAATCCCTCTAGTATTTCCCATGTGTACATTATGATATATTTTTGTCTCGCCTGTTTCATTTATTTCGTTCTGAGTCAGCGGAATATTATTACAAATTTAAATTGTAGAGCGAATATTTTGGTTTAAACGAAATGGCGATGTTGTGACGAAATTTAATGTCTATCCCAGAGAGGCGCCGATGATAGTAAAATAAATCAGATATTTTAATTGCTCTTTTTCATTCATTATAATTACTTTTTCTATATAATACTTATTATTATTTCCTGTGTTATTATTTCTATTATTATTATTATTATTATTATTATTATTATTATTATTATTATTATTATTATTGTTATTATTATTATTACTTTTATTATTATTGTTTTATTATTATTATTATTATTATTATTATTATTATTATTATTATTTAATTATTCTGTTTTTGCTTCTTTTGCTTCTTGTATTTATAGCAGTCATTATTATAACTATTTTTACTTTTACCATTATTGGTATTATTATTAGTTGCAGTAGTAATATTAGTAACTGTAGTGGTAATAATAATAATAATAATAACAAATACTGTTATTATTTTATTATTAAATTTATCACTGCTACTTCTTCTAC